AGAACCTGAGTACAGAGAACCAGAACCTGAGTACAGAGAACCAGAATCTGAATACAGTGAACCAGATCCTGAATGCAGAGAACCAGAGCCTGAGTACAGAGAACAAGAACCTGAGTACAGGGAACCAGAACCTCAGTGCAAAGGACCAGAACCTGAACACTGAGAACCAGAACCTGAACACTGAGTAGCAGAACCTGAGTACAGAGAACCAGAAACTGAACACTGAGAACCAGAACCTGAGTAAAGAGAATCAGAACGTGAGTACAGAAAACCAGAACCCAAGTACAGAGCACCAGAACCTGAGTACAGAAAACAAGAACCTGAGTACAGAAAACAAGAACCTGAGTACAGAGGACCAGAACCTGAACACAGTGAACCAGAACCTGCATACAGAGAACCAGAACCTGAGTACAGAGAACCAGAACCTGAGTACAGAGCACCAGACCCTGAACACTGAGAACCAGAACCTGAGTAAAGAGAATCAGAACGTGAGTACAGAAAACCAGAACCCAAGTACAGAGCACCAGAACCTGAGTACAGAAAACAAGAACCTGAGTACAGAGAACCAGTACCTGAAAACTGAGAACAAGAACCTGAATACAGAGAACAAGAACCTGAACAAAGTGAACCAGAACCTACATACAGAGAACCAGAACCTGAACACAGTGAACCAGAACCTGCATACAGAGAACCAGAACCTGAGTACAGAGAACCAGAACCTGAGTACAGAGAACCTGAACCTGAGTACAGAGCACCAGACCCTGAACACTGAGAACCAGAACCTGAGTAAAGAGAATCAGAACGTGAGTACAGAAAACCAGAACCCAAGTACNTGTGTGTGTGTGTGTGTGTGTGTGTGTGTGTGTGTGTAGGTCTCTGACATCAGTAAATATTTCCTCATGGATCATCTTCTCTGCCTCACTGCACTGTGTGTGTGTGTGTGGGCGGTCCTTAGGGATGTGGGCGGAGCCAGAGAAAACACTCTCGGCCTGATACGTGTGTGAGCTCTGCTGGGCAGGAAGCTCAGCACTGATTGGACAGCAGAGACCGGGGGCGGAGCCTCAAATCATGGTTTGTTTTAGTGAAAAAGTTTTTATAAAAACGTATTTTAAATGTGACCTGGTTCTCAGTGACTCCGCCCCCCCCAGCACAGGGCGGCTGAGGTTCTGACCCAGGAAGGCCTTGGTTCTGAGTCTACCTGGAGGAGGAGGTGCTGGGCAGAGGCCTCCTCATGGCTCCTGGACTCATGCTGTAGTACGAGGAGCTGTCCAGGTCCGCAAGAGAAAAGTTGGGTCCGGTTCCAGCTGCGATGGGTGCTGAAGAACACAAACAGAAGACATGAGTACAAACACAGAACCTGAACACAGAGAACCAGAACCTGAGTACAGAGAACCAGAACCTGAGTACAGAGAACCAGAATCTGAATACAGTGAACCAGATCCTGAATGCAGAGAACCAGAGCCTGAGTACAGAGAACCAGAACCTCAGTGCAAAGGACCAGAACCTGAACACTGAGAACCAGAACCTGAACACAGAGAAGCAGAACCTGAGTACAGAGAACCAGAACCTGAACACTGAGAACCAGAACCTGAACACTGCGAACCAGAACCTGAGTAAAGAGAATCAGAATGTGAGTACAGAAAACCAGAACCCAAGTACAGAGCACCAGAACCTGAGTACAGAAAACAAGAACCTGAATATAGAGGACCAGAACCTGAACACAGTGAACCAGAACCTGAATACAGAGAACCAGAACCTGAGTACAGAGAACCAGAATCTGAATACAGTGAACCAGATCCTGAATGCAGAGAACCAGAGCCTGAGTACAGAGAACAAGAACCTGAGTACAGAGAACCAGAACCTCAGTACAGTGAACCAGATCCTGAATGCAGAGAACCAGAGCCTGAGTACAGAGAACAAGAACCTGAGTACAGGGAACCAGA